CGAGAGGATTGGCTAAGACGGAGGCACCCCAACTGCTGAGGCCGTCAAGGCCGAAACACATGTATCGGACTCTATAAGTTGCCCATAAAAGACCACATGACGTGTTGGCTCAAAAATAATCATCACATTCTTAGATGTAATATTTGATTATTTACGTTGGCGTGATCGCTGGTTCAGTCCCATCTCAGGCCAAGAAAAATTCTTATCTCACAGGACAGACAAACTGGAACTAAATTTGCCTGACGATATCTCATTCAAATCTACAAAGACCGCCAATGAATAGACGCGGTGATTTTCTAGGATAGCTTCCTACACCAGTATTCCAAAGAGGACCAACGAATTAAAACCAAAAAATATCAACTCCATCAATTCTATTGAATTCTACGATGACGAAAAGTTCTCAAATAGTAGCACAACCACGGTCGATGTCGAAGACGTTAGTAGAAGCCAGTTGCGAGACGACGAAAAGATTGAAAGTAGGGGTCCGCGTCGCATGAGAAGGCGGCTTATATAAATCAAGGCGAAAGGAAATAATTTATGATACATGGACTTTTGTCCATTATCGCTCCACATCCCTTTGGACGAGAGCTATGTGAGGTGTAGGAGGTTGAACATAGACACCAACCAACACATAACCTGACTGATATACCACTGGACTCAGATTTCCTCCCGACCTAGTGGTAGTAGTTTTGTTCGCCATGAACAAGGTGCTAGTTCCACCTCTACTAGGGTTCACCAAAATCTTCATCGCTTTGGAGTCGTGAAATAGAATCTCTCGTCGGGATGGAACTAGCACCGTGTTTATGGCGAGCAGCATCACTACCATTGGACTGACAGGAAAATGAGATTCATGAAAGAGACAGAAAACCTCCAGTTGCAATCATTACACAACTTTCTATGGTAAAACTTTTGAGGACAATGGATGCGAGGAGAAGATTTCAGATGCAAAAAGTGCTGATATTGTCACAACAAATTTGAAGAGGAGCCGTGTAAATTGAATAGATAGCATAGCGGGGTAACGCAGTGGTTAGCGATGTGATGTATCAGAGAGCAAAAGAGAAAAGCAAGGCGCTGGTTCGATCCTCTCACCCAACACTCTCTTGCAATCAATCAACGAACGTCTTAGAGAATGCCTTAGCTCGGCTACCTCCAAGATTGCAAGGAGAACCCTCTCGACCAGCAATCTCCGTCTTAGTCAACTGCTTCTTCGCCACAGCGTGGTTTTTTTCATGTCCTCCATTGCAACAAAATTCCTTTTTTCATTCCATACGACCCGGCTTCACAACTTTTACTGCGCGAATAACACTACTACTTCTAATGGGTCACCATAAGTTTTGGCTCTACGGAAAACACCGAATTTATTAACCTTAAGTCATCAAAATAGCATGATTTTGGCATCGTTCTATTGCGCATTTTCGTGCAAATAGTTTTGTATACAACTTGCCTATACTAGCTTCAAGATAGAGCTGTCGTGGAAACAAATTCGCTTGCTACTCATGCATGGATGGCGCGTAGGGGAAAACGCCAGTGAACCCGCGCACAAGATTAATAAAGTTTCCCTGTGGACGATCCGAGCGCAACCGATCCTCCAGACTATTCTCAATTTTGAACTTCACAAACCACTTCCTAGCTGTCCTTTCTGGAACCGCCTCCTCGCCTCAAGCTCCATTAATCTTGCGCGCCGCTTCAAGCATTTTCTTCTAAGCGCCATCCGTGCATGAGTAGCAAGCGAATGTGTCGCCAAGGCAGCTCCATCTCAAAGAAGGTATAGGCAAGTTGTATACCAAAATGTTCGCAAGAAAATCCGAAATTTAACGATACTAAAACCATGATACTTTAATTGCTTGTAAATTACAAATTCGGTGTTTGTTGCTGTAGTGCTAAAACTTAAGGAGCGACCTGATTTCATATCATTCGACTCGTCTTCTCGAAGAAACCGCTTGCTTGAGAATGTCGCCTTCCTCATGAACATCGTAGAATAGTGGTCAGGCAGATCTCCCTGCAATCTCAAAAATCGCCAAGCTGAGACGTTCGTTGATTGACTGTCGGATAGTGTTGGTGGGATCAACCCCGCGCCAAGCATCATCAAGACCTTATCCAGAGCCCTCCTCCTCCTCCTCTCACTATACTTGAAATCCAGCAATTCTAAATGTTTAATGGAAATAAACAATTGAAGAATGACTTACACGAGCATAAGAAAGATGATGAATATGTTCCACAAAGCAATGAATATACGGAAATACTGCAGCGACAATAGAAATTCCCGAATCTTATCGCCGACCGATTTGACTTCACTCTCGACAATAAAGTGATGGAAATCCTGACCTTGAGTGTTCCTGAAGAGAAACGAATTTGGAGATGATAGTATTCAAATCTCTCTATTGTAAATTCTTCTTCAAAAGTCATTCAGTGGAACACTCTGTAGTTTCTCGGATTTTGGGTAATAAGTTCCCTCGCCACTTTTGAGCACGACTTGCGAACTATTCTTGAAGCCTGTCGACTAATTTGACGAGAAATAATTATACAGATGAATACATCGAAAGACCGACTTGAACTCAAACCTCGCCATGTAAAATAAACAGTAATGTCTAATGAACTTTTCACCTAACTGAAGCTCATGCAAGGTTGTATGTCTCTTTTGACTGCTTAACCGGCTAACTTCCGCAGACCCAAACTGGGCGTGCCCGTCAGCATAGAGACGACTCCACCTCCTCTGCCCCGATTAGTCGCCGCCAACAGGTATCGCTTTTTGTTGCAAGACCGCACGCGAAGCTGTTTAAAACTTAAGCGAGTCGTGCAACGAAAAGTAGTAGTGTAGTTGACGACTAATCGGGGCAGAGAAGGTGGAGCTCTTCCCACGCTGGCGCACATGCCCAGTTTGGGTCCGCGGAAGTCAATCGGTTAAGGACTACATGGTGCGTCTCGTATCAAGCCGTTCTACAAAAATCTCACTCAGCGGCTGTAATGGCGGCGTCGCATCTCGTGGGAAAGCAGACGCAGACAGCCAAACATCCATGCACAGACATGCAGATTCTGCCTGCCTGCGACTGTCACGCAAGCGACGGCGCGACGCCGCCTACCTATCAACGGTGCTACTCAAATGATTAAATCTCAAGGACTGATATTTCGGCGACCTCGCCTTCTTCAGAGTCTGAACGTATTTTGCATATAACACTAGTGGTATAAGATTCTGGGTTATCTCTTGGGTTAATAGAGCCCTATGGTATTTATGAACACTGCTTTATTTACGAGAAATCATCTACCGTATCAAGGATCGCCCAATTTATTGATTTCTCTTGGAAAAGTAGTTTCTAACTGCCACAGATTTTCATTAACACGACAAGCAATCCACTAATTTATAGGATCAACAGTATCCCAGACATCTCTTAGAGCAGCCTCGTACTAATTTACCGACCACGGAGAAATGGATGGCTTGGTTAGCCATGGGCGTGAGGCCGAGCCATCGACCTTGTGTGCAGCGCACAGCACCTCTAGCCACTGCGCCACATACATTACTATGAAAGATTTAATCAGTCTTCAAGTATACTTTAGTAACTTACAACTTAAAGTTCAGAATAGCGCAAGCGTTAACGAACAACGTTGATGCGATGACCAGCTCAGAGAGCATAATTCGAATCCCACGGAGACGCAATCAACTGGTAATCGGCGTCGTCAACTTCTGCACAACGTTCTGATCAAATTCGAAGAAGCAGAGCCTTAAATAGTCGCATTCAATTCTCCTTAATTCTCAGAACTTTACTGAAAGATTAATTAACGACATCAAATATATTAAATCGACACTAATGGAGAGTTGCGGTCCGATCGATTTTCTAAGCCTAAGGCTTAGGCTAAAACTGAGTTTAAGCATAAGCCTAAGCGGGCTCTCGTAACTTCTTATTTTGAAACAAAATTTTGAAAAGTGCCTAAAAAATCGATGGGACCAAAACTCTTTCCACAACGGCCAATGAATCTTTGAAAGAGTCAGGCACAAAAATCAACCGAAATTGAGCAAAATTACTTTTTCAGCGAATTTTCGTACTCAGATTAGTGAGATTACTATCAATAGATAAAAAGATTAATAGACGCAGAGCAAGGGACTTTGGCGAAATCGCATGGGAAAACGACTGTATCCAAATTGAAACTATCCACCACACTGGAACAAAATCAAGAGTATCGCAGAAATTGTGGTTGAAGAACCGATGTACCGGTAGCGTAAGTGGTTAGCTCGCGTCTTCGGAGAGGGTGAATGCGGGTTCGATTCCCGTCCGAGCTTCAAAATTTGGCATATCCATCAACATTATTGAACAGGTATTTGTGGCATCATACAACTGCTATAAAATATAAAATCGGCGAAATATGGAGATATTCCTTTAATTACTGAGTACTCTTTATTTTCATGTGTTTATAGAAAAGAAATACTACAGAACGGAAAAGAAAACGTCGAGCAGAACGTAAGGAAACGAAGAGGAACGAGGCGATCATAAGAAAGCATGTCGAGGAAAGTAGAAAGCAGAAAGAAAGCGAAAGATAACTAGAAGAAGGAGAAGATAAGAAGCTAGAGAAAAAAAGAAAGAAGAAAATAGGAAGATCAAAGAGACCCAGTACCTCCTGGACAAAGTACGAATCCAGAAAAATCTGCGACTGGAAAACTTTGGAAAACTTGGAAAAACTGCGCCCCAACGACGTTGGACGAAGGCCAATCCAACAACAAAATGGACCAATGACAATCCATGTTGGCATCTTGATGCTGAACGGCGGCGAACTATGGTGCCGTGTGGCATGGTGGTGGTGTCCGTTGCGTAGAGGTAACGGGCGTCCTTAGTGAGAGTGAAATGCGAGTTCGACTCCCGCCTAGGGTCTGATGTTTTGTGTAATACTCAGCTCCCTCGGATATATAGTTATGTTACAGACGACAACCTGTCAATAGGGTTTTACAAAGCCGGAACAATCGTGGTGTTGTGATGTTTGAACTACATATTCAAGAATGCTGAGTTATCTTGAACCTCAGGCGAGAATCGAACGCGCATCTCACCCTTTTCGGGGGCACGTGTTTACCACTACTCTATCAGAGCTCTATTTCCGTATCACTCTTTCTACGATACAAGGTTTCTAAGCTAAACACCAACTTCCAAGGAGGCTTGGTTTATTTTCGTAGTACTCTTCAGCACCGTTTATAGCAAATAGACTAGCCATGAAATAATTACTTGGATACTCGAACGATCCGTTTTCACTGATAATGCGAGTCCTAGCATAGGTAACTGTGTTGGTTTAGTTGTAATGTCCCTAAGCCCCAAGGTAGACATAACCGGAGTTTCCTAAGGTCGTCACCACACTCGGTCACTCGCCAGCGCCTGTAGATCAGAGGGAGATTGCCACCTTGCGACTAGTAGCTACCAAGGCGGCGGTTATTCCTGGTACGGTCTTAGCGGGGCTTTCCGAGTGGAAACATCGGACTCCTCCTCAGCCTGGATGGCCCTGCTGGGGCTTAAACCCCTCGCTGTATCTCGCAGTCTCACACCCAGGAACACCTCCCAGCCATGATGAGGCGGCAAGCCATAGATAGATAAAATAGAGATAGATAAAATAGAGAGGCATATAGATAAAATAAGTAGCCTCATGAGAAAGCGAAGTGCTGCTTAATATTGATATCTAGCCAACGATGGGGCTCATTTCTCAGTTTGAATTGTTCATCATCACAATTGAAATCATGCACTAATCGTGGGAGCATTCTTGAATCAAGTAGTCGATACATTCATTAGTAATGCAAGATCTTTAAACTGGATGTGTAACCAGTAACCTCACAACGAGAACGACCACATGTGGACCATTGCCTCGATGAATCCAGTTCTAAAGAAGACACAGAAATCAAAGCACTATTCTAGTTAAAAATAAACCTTAGTAATAACCAAGTGTTTGCCCAATTATTGAGAAATTTATTCATCAATGATATATTTGTGCGCAAGGGCGCATGTGGCGCAGTGGTCAAAGGTACACTACGATACAAACATGGGCAATGAGTCGATCCTGCATCCACGGCTCACGAAACCCCTCTTCCCCCTTCCCACCCATCCCCCATACCTGTGGGTTGGGTCGGTGAGTCGGTACCAGACTTGCGTGAAAGGATAGCAGCACCGACTAGATACGGCAGGCCACTGCGTGTTATTGAAATCGAATGCTTAGAGCAACCCTAGGGTATTGATCAACGCCAAAGGCTTTATCCACTCTTTCTTATATAATTGTGAGGGTACCACTCTGATCATTACCTTAACTTGAACGACCACAAGGTTTTGACGCAGATATTTCTTAATCTACATCGTAATTAAATTTTAATCAAATTACTTTCTACCCGACTGTTTTTGAGACCTCGCTCAAAAATCAGCGTAATCTAACAGCATTATTTAAGCCTTCCAGAGGTCTGGTATGGCACTTCGAGTGGTGGACGTACGTTTCGCCTTTCCAACAAACGTCATCAGTAGCACATGCCTTTCTGTTTAGCCGTTCCCTTATAACTAATGGTTGCAACGCCGCATATTCCACGTAAATCAAGTGAAAAGATCAACTGACATTACAGTGATTTACAGGCGATTGCTCAGGCTGGTGAAACGCACATAAATATACTGAACGCATATACCCTTCTCAACAGTTTTGAACCTCGCTCAAAATTCTTTTGAACCGCAGGGCATGTGCTACTGATGAGGCTTGCTAGAAACTACATACGTACGTTTAGCAATAGAGAATGACAGACCAGACCTCTCAAAGGCTTAAAATATGCTATCGGATTACAATGAAATTATTCAGATCACCAAAGATCTGAGCGACATCACCTTTCGTATCTTAACAAACAACCGGCACCGCGTTTTTTTTTTTAGTTTTTATGATTCGACTTAGCAAGCAATATTGTACAATATGAATAATAATCATATACAGAGAGTCAAACTCTACTAAACATGCTACGTTTACATGACAGAATATCTACACAAGGCATAAAAATAGTATCATCATAAATGGGAACATAATCGAACAGAAACAATTCAGTGGACAATGAGGTAAGTATGAATAAAATAACCCTGCTAGAAACCGAAATGACTCGCATAACACAGACTTAATGGGCTTGTTGAAGATAAGAATGACATCAGTTCTCTTCTGAAAATATTCGATTAGACTGGAAGGTACTTACATAATAGACGACTATATTCGAACTCATTTGCTGGGCAAGATTTTTTTTTCATAAATTACTCGAAAGCTTAAATCTCTAGCTAGAGTCATACGTAGCCAGTTTCAAAGCACCCTTCTATAACGTTGTAAAATCACCACAAAATTCACACGACCACGCGTTCTTTATTCTTATTCCGCTTATATTTTTGTGGACAAAACTCCTTCCTCAAACTGCTAGTACTTTTTCAATCGCAGAAGTCTCGAAGAACTCAAAATATCTTTCATACAAAATGCCCAAATTCGAGGAAGTTTGATGATTGAAGAGGTTGCATAATTCTCTGCACATGTAGGATGGAATTAAAACTAACCACTAATTCTCGACTTATTGATTGATTGCGCGGTCAATAGATATTACCGTAAATATGTTCATTTTTCAGTAGCTTCTGTACGATCAAGTGGAAATTGTGAAAATTTAGAGGCAGAAGATGAAGTATTTTCGAAGTTATTTGATAAGTTAAGCAGTCTATGGACAATGACCTATTGTAGCTTCAATGCCGTTGAGTTTTACGAGCACAGAATGGAGCCAGAAGATGGCGTACCTCAGAAACGACGGAGGTTAGTGTTGAACCAGTGCATAGTGCTAAGAGATGAATGACGGTGTTCAACTGACTTCGCTATTCGTGCTACACTGTGACTGTCAGCTGTACGTGCTAGTGCACGATCCACGTCACTACGACGATTGATCATCTCGACTGGCATGCTAAAATGAGAGAAGAAAAGTAAGAAATCAGATGGGGAAAGGGAAGGAATGAGAAAACCATCCGTCAAATCACCACTCTCTTAACATCAGAAATGAATATTTTACTTTACAATGCAAGTTCTGTATACAGCTCCCTCTACGATGCGGTAATTTACGAAATGTTTCCAGATGTGTATTTTACACGACCGATCTTCACATCTATTGTGCGGACCCTTGCATCTGCATCTGATTCATTTCTCCATACTAATCATTCACGAATGCCTCTCGACTTTTAAATGTGAGATTGGCTGATGCTTGAACGTCTTGCTTTCATCATGAGTATCGTTGGATAGTGGTCGAGTCTAATCTTCTTAGGCCCCTGAGATAAGTCGCATAAAGCGTTCTCGGCCGGATTGTGAGAATGAGCATTATCCAGACTAGTCTGCTACAAATTTTTCGAACGCAGAACGATGAGAGCTTCTATGAGTGCGGGACGGAGTCCACACTAAAAAATAACTAATAATCTACAAAATTTACATCGAAGCTCAACCACAACTGTGCAAGAGGAAAGCATGCAGTACAGAACTCGTTCACCATTATGCTGATGTTTGCGTTGTTACATTGTTCAAAACCGATGTTACGAAGAACTATACGTTGCCGCTGAAGCTCAGCAAAATTGTTTTGAGAGAGACTGTCCTGATCGAAAAATAAGCTCCATATGGTAATCAAGCAAGCGTAAACAGTTTTTGAAAAGCGGGGAGAATACTTGGAACTAGACCCAGACGTCACGCTCCTGGACCTAACGGCCATCAGCGCCATTTGCAGGAAAAAAGTGCGCAAAACTTTCTGGAGGAATACTAAAAATAGTAAACAGAGAGAAGTGTTATCGAGATGTTGCCGAACACAAGCCTATGTTATTATGGATGAAATCAACATTCAGTTTGTTGTACCTCACCCGAACTTTAGCGCATACCGTTTATCTCCATTCACAACAGTTCAAAACAACGAAATAAATGGAAGACATACATATTTCAATCTACTAGTGCAGTTGAAGGACCCGTTTTTCACCTTCAAAACTTGATTCAAATGCAAATGAAAAGACGAGAAGATGTACAAGAAGTTTCCTTAGTGCAAATTTTTTGCCCTACAACTATAATAGGTCGTGCAGTAGACGGCTTCATTTGCTAAAACCTTTTTTGACAATTTAGTGGTAAATGTAGCCTGACTTCAATAATGCGTAGGTTTACTTGGAAAAAATTGCTTACATTATTAGAAGTAGAGCAAATTTCGTAGCCAACATCTTCTTCATACTACTCTTGATCTTGCACTAACACTCTCTGAAGTGTGAAGCAAGTCCAACAATTTCAGAGGTGCCCACCTGATGTTCATGTCAGCAAAACGCCTTCCATTTCCAGAATTGAATGAGTTGCGAAAATGAGCAGATCGATCCATGTAGTGATGAGTTTGGGTCTACAAAATGTGTTCAGCTTGAAATTATTCGCATAATAAAATAAACAACAGGCTCAAAACATACCCTAAGCGCGTTTTCACGTGCAAGCATTTGTTGTGCTAGAATAGCAGGGTTAGTGATTTTGTGAATAAATTGGCACCTAAACGGTAAAAAATATTCTCATTTATTGAAAAACCTTGAAGCCGCAAGAGTTTATAAACTTGATGAAGGAAAGCCTATGTAATGAATGATTCTCTCAAAAGTACCGACGTTGGAGCTCAACATCTTAATCATTGGAAAGTAGAGTAGAAAGTTTTACCTTGCTCCATATTTACAATAACCAGTATTCGAGAACTTATCGCACAGTACTGTTTTGTATTTGGGGTGACTACGACCACGAGGCTAAAAAGTTTTATAACAACACCATGATATTTTTTTCTAATTTCAAAATTACCCATTCAGATGGATACCTGAGCAGGTAGTCGCAGCTCGTCTACACCATGAGCAAATCGACATTCGTTTACCGTAGCTACATGTCTGCGTTCGTCTATACGATTCACATAAAGCAGTTTTGTAAGCATCTTGCTGGAACATTCACAAAACTTCTTTTTCTTGCATTACTTTCCCAAAGAATAGAATTGTGGTTTTTTTTCTGAGTTTGGAAATTTGTCTTGGAGATTTTTGACAACACTTGACATATCAGCCTCTAGAGAAGCAAGGAAAAGCAGAAGTATAGTTTTTGTGACTAGTTCTACAATAAACGCATTGAGTCCAGATTATTTCTGTTCCAGGAGAAAGAGTAAAAGATCTCTAGATAACCGATAATTTTCAATAAGTTAATGCTTTTAAGTTACATCAACAAATTATCCTTGACTTCCTTGAATGCTTATATCTTAATAATGTATAAACGAAGAGAACTTTCATCGTTATCAGGAAGTTTTGGTGAAGATGGGAACCAATAAACAAAAACTGACAACGCAAAGCCTATGTATGTTGTGATAAACGACACCTTTCGTTTTTGTCTAAGTAGTTCCTCCCTTTCGTCGTCAGTAAGTGTACATGGATCTTGAGATGCAAGAGCAGATTTAACGCAGCTGCTCAGTTGTTCGCGCAAATACGAATCTTGAGCACTAAGATTTCGAAGTAGGCTCTAAAAGTACACTAAAGTAAATGTTGCAAGAGAGAAAACACATTACTTTCTCTAAATAATTACGACAACATAAAAGTTGACGATCTTGAGGAGGCTGTGAGCTCAACAGTTGTGGTGCTGTTATCTTGTAGCTGAAGCACAATATGGGCCCGGAACTACTAAGTAAAAGATTTCACAATCATTAGCAAGTAATGATAGCAAATAAGAGCAAGTAGCGCAGCAGTTAGCGATGCTCTGCGTCGAGCCTGTGGTCGTCGACTAGATCTCGTGTTCATAGCTCACTAAGCCTTCCACTCCGGGGTTGGTAAATTGGTACCAAACCTGTCTGGGAGGATAGCAGCAGTTACTTGAGGCAGTCGTGAGTCACTTCAAAGGCCAAATGTGCTTCCAACCTCCCTACGGGCAAAAATCAAAGGCGAATGCATGGCGCATGCTTTCAAGGATTGATCAACATCGAAAGCTTTATCCTTTTGGTTCTTGAAATGTGATAGCACTGACAGTAAGTACTGAAAGGCACATAGTTTGTTATTGTATTAGATTAACAAGAAGGGGGTTAAACGTGGAGTAATTTATAGCTCTCACATATACTCATGAAACTGTTCACTTTGCACAGTTTAAGAAGATTCCATATCAACGAAGCAGTAAGAACAAAGTAAATGAAAACTTACAACATCAAATCCTAGGAGGTCTGGTGGACATGATGTGTTTTGCTTGTCGTTCATTTCATACATTTTATAGTCGTCCAAGCAGGTCTTCATAAAAGCAGCAGTAGTTTTTTCAACATCGTCGTTTTCTTCCACCTTCGTTTGTTCACCAGGTAATCGATCAGTCATTCTGGATGAAACATAAATATAGAGAAGAAACTGACACAGGGTTTAGTCGCTCATACAATGGCTACAAAATTCTTGAATTAGCGCAAAATCCTCAATAGCCTTCCAACGAAAGACTTTAGATAGGTGGGATAGAGCAAAATGTTTTTACAAAGAATTTTAACCTTCATAGAGAGATATTTGCCGATTTTTCTGCACAGCAATTATGCTCATCTTCTAGAAAGATTTCACTTGTCATCGCACACCTGTCGGAAAACTTTTTATTGTGTTCTTGACCGTTTTGAAAATGTCTGATACAAAACCACATATGCGATCGGCCTGATTATCTCATACAATTACTGTAGCTTCATAGATCACTGCAGAGCGATGGATATTACGACGAGAAGCCAAAATTTTACATCATAAAGAATATATGAGCTTCTTACATTGGTTCATAGAAAAAGGCACTTTAGTGTTATAACTAGTTCTACACCGACAAGGTTCAGAAGCTTCGGCATCACAGATGCGATGTTATCGATAGAGCTGCTTGTAGCGGAATTTATTTTTCCACTTCCTTGCAGTAGCAAACGCATTAGCTCATTTACCTTCCTTATTATTAATTTCTAATTGTTAAACGCATTTATCAGTTCTATTCATACTCGAAGACAAAAAAGAGTGTCTAGTTGTTGGACGTGCCCTATAACATATACGTGGTTTTGGTTCGATCTCCGTCTCGGACAAACTAAGCTTTTCATATCTTCGCTGTCGACAAATGGATAGCAGGCCTTTTAAGAAAGATAGAAGCACTAATTTGGTACTGATAGATGCACGTGATTCATTGTGTACTGCAGCCATGCGTTCAATTACCTCACGAGTGGAATCCATGGCATATCATTATGTTCACTCATTAATCCCACTCGCTCTACATTTGCTTATAGCAAACATTCTATGGTGGAAAGTTCTGGCGATGTTTAGCTTGCTGTACAAATGAGATGAGCATCGCTGACTCTATAAAAGATAGAACAGATGAATTTCTAAGAACGAGAAGTTACAGGGTGTTCTGAGGGGCAAACACGATACAGCTATGTGAAATTGGTGACGTCTTATGGAAGAATAAAGAGAACTGGAGTTTGGAGAAACAGCACCTGATCATGGCAAAAGGCGAAATGAACCACAGTATTGGCCCATGTCGATAGTGTTTGGCGCCAAAATCAACAATCTAGTATGCCACTGTAGATCATTCCATAGCTCAAGAATCTTTATTTGTTCTACTGTATAATCGTCCTTGGTAAATTAGTTCATAGTTCATTATATTTTGCCTTTGGTAAGTTACAGTGATAGCAGAAGAGACCACTGTGAGTTCCAGCGATTCTGATAAAGGCGTAATTACCGAAATGTCAGCCATCGAGCAAATCGAATCACTATTGAACGATGGATCGTTAAGGCGTTGGAACATAGATGGAATATAGCTCTTTTGACTTCACCATATGATCTTAGTGATTTCACTCAAAACCACCAGACCGGATCGAATGGAAGAGTGTTTGCAGCTACACTTTATAGTTTATACGATTGTTTGCTGACTGGAGAAAATGTGTCCGGTTAGTGACCTGTCGAAAGCAAGTGTTCATCTTCTCAATATAGTTAGTCAGATGACGAGATCATTTCGAAGCATCCGTCCGGGAAAAGCGGATCTATGTTACGGAAAAGTCAACGAGACAGTAGATTGTGACTATTATACTACTAGATCAGTTAAAGTTGAAATTTCTTGCATCAAAAAATAATGCACTTCAAATCCATTTGGTAAGCAGAAGCCACTGAATAACAGCACTCAAACGAGGGCATATGCGGATTCTGTCGGTGTGCAATCGAGCCAATTAATAAGCTGATTACTGTATATCATCTAGTAATGTTTAAGTGGAACATGTCTTAAATTGCGGCTGTTTCATTACATAGTGATTGGTCTTTCCATAGAAAAGAGCACTTGGAGAAAAGTGATTTGTGTTGATCATCATATAACAGAAATGTCCATTATTCTTTCAAACGTCTAGTGATAACCTCCATATGCTTCATCGTAGTGTGATTCATTTTGTATTTCGTATTCTCTTTTGCCGGTGACCAAATCTACTTCACGATGACAAAGATTGAGCCAGCTCGCCTTGTCTATAACAGTGTCAACGATCTGATAAGAAGTACGATATTCGAGGTTGAAAGTGTGAGTTTATGGTAACCTTGAAAATTCTACACATTTGCAACTGATTGCTGTCACCTTTTAGCTTCTGCCACGATTTCAATCTGTAATTGGTTATATGTTGCATGAAATTCGAGAGACCTGTGGCGTTGTGACATTAGACGCCTCTGAAGAGGGCTTCGCTTCAATCCGGCACATTGCAAATGAGGCCCCAAATCCTGCCGGGTCCGCTGTATTACTGCAAAGTCGCCTGGGAAGGTTACTATCCGATCCATAGAGAAGGAGACCTGCGTATGTTGCAGCACTGGCGGTGTGCTAGCATGGTTGTTCCAGGATTCAGAGGAGAATCCACACAACCGGCATTCAACAATATTCATGAGGAATATCGGAAGCTCCAACCAGCAACCAATTGTTTCCAAAAATATGTGATCTCCGTGGATGATAGATAGGAGGAAGTGAATCAAATTCGAGAAGTGCTTGTGCACGCACATTATATGATGTAAAAAATTTGCGAATTTATGAGAAAATTTCTATTCACCTTTGAAGATATTTATCTTGGGAACTTCCATAGAATGAATACTGTTATGATGTTAAAACCTTGATAATATTACTGTGGTAAGCAAAAATACGACCTCGGACGGGAGTCGAACCCGCGTTTCATCCATAACGGGGGCTCGTGTTACCACTACATCATCGAACTACATTCGCACCACCACTCATTCTGATGGCTGACAGCTAACCTAGAGATGTCGAAGAATGAGTGCTGATGCGAATGTACCTCGGTGGTGTAGTGGTAGCGCACACTCCCGGTATGGATGAAAAGCGGATTCGACTCCCGCCTGAGGTCGCATTTTTGTTTAACACCCAATCCTCTTAGGGATATGTGAATCATCATAGCACTGGGAAAATGTAGTAAAATACTGAATTCTGTGTTAGCTCAACTTTGAGCCACGTTGCATTTTCGTGTTCTGTGTCAAAACATTGTTTTATTCATGAACGGTAAAACATCTGATATCTTTCCATGGCAGGTTCTCAATCGACTTCCTAAGAGCGATGATCGTATGGATGTGGTGAGTATGCTCGAACAAGGAGCATCGAATCAGGTCCATCTTACCATAGGAGAGAATGTAAGATATTGATAACTTTGAAAGAAGTCAAAGAATTTGATATGAAAAAAAGAAGCCAGAGTAAAGATATCAGTTGGCATAGAAGTCAATTCTGTTGTTCTGTCATCTCAGGAAAGAATATACTCACAAGCAGACATAACGATATCATTTCAATCTAATTCTGGTTTTGATTCTGAAGCAATGTGCACTAGACTTGTTATCAGCCATTTTCACGCAGTATATATAACGCAGAGGTTAGACGTATTATAAAACAAACACACTGTCGTTAGATGAAATTCTTTTTACTTAACCGCTTCTAGCGGTGGTATGATGTTTCGAATGCACCCACTCAAGTAGAATGATGTGCAAAACTTTTGCGTCAGCCGGGACTAGAACCCGCACCCTCAAGTTTTGCACATCACTCATAACCAGTGGGTACATTTCGAACATCATACGACAGCTAGAAGCGGTTAATAAAAAGGATTTCATTTGATCTTCCATACCAATATCTGTCAGCGTGATTGGGTTGAATGTCTACCGACTGCCGGGGCCATGAAGTTGACGGCTGGCGGCTGACAGATAAATGCACTGTAGCGTAGAAAGAATGGTGTGCAAAATGGGCGTCAGTAGTGTAACGGATCGAGCATGCGCTCCCGGATAGAGTGAGGTGCGGGTTTTAGCTCCGCCTAGCATGAAAGCTTTGTTTATCACTCTACATCAATGGATACACCGTCGTTAGTTCGACCTCTTGCCCAGGGCATATTAAGCTCTCCATTCACCCAGGGTTGGCATAATAATATGGCTAACCTACCCTAATGTTTCGGCAGGTCATCAGCCAAACAGAATCGGAAAGAAAGCGATGAAAAGTAATTCGATTCAAAATAACACCATAGAATCCTGATGTTGATATTCAAAACGACATTATGAGTGAGACTCCGATGCCGTTACTTCAAAAGATATTACTACAAATGATCAAAATACCAAAACAGCACTACATTCAATTTTGTGTTTCAGAAAAGCATTTCATCGCCCACTTCTTATTCAAGCGCTGTGAAGTCGTAAGTATCAAATATGATCTTCTAAAGAGAAATCAGTCTATACCTGCACTTAATGCAAATATATTTATACTTAGTACAACTGCTCTTATTGTTCATAATCTGGACATTTTCGTAGGTCATACCTCAATACTTCGGTTCGAGACAAGTGTTTAACACATTTTCGATTTTTCCATACTAGGCCTCAGTGACTAAAGATATGATTTAATCTTGTTATCACTTTTATCATAATGCAAGCCAACATTGTGATAGTCTTTTTCTGCCTGAAGGTGATAGAGAAGTATTCCATAAGCGTCTGACCCACAAGAAACTTTCCATTGCTATTTTCCATTTGATTCATTTCAGATAGATGATACTATGAACGAATGACTAATCTGAGATTAGAATAAGTCCCTGCAGAGTTTTATAGAGCAGATGACAAATAACATTTTAATCAATACCCATGTTTTTACATTCCTTTCGTTTCCAATAAGCTCAGCAAAATTAATAAACAGGTTTTTAATACTTCGCAACGTTTTGACGACTTTAACTTCCTTCGAATTCGCATAAGTACATATTAATATGTTGTGTATAGCACTGTTACGGATGCGGTGCACACCAGGCTTCTGGTTCGACCTCATACCCTAGAGCGAAGTAGGCCTTCCCTCACCAGACTTCAGAAAACTGTCACGTGACTTTTCCCTAAGATTAATGAACTAAGAAGGTACATCAATGGGCCATGCATGCCGCTCCACAGGGTACCTGTGCAATCAGCCACCTCTGATGATGCACAAATGAGTCGAGTGCATGGTGGATCTCTCAGGCATTGATGAAAGCGAAGCTAATTGCTCTATTGCACCAATCGCGAGTAGCACAGCCAGAGGGTCCTCAATTATGCACGCTGTCCCTAGCTTGACATTATACTAGTGAAAGTCAAACAACGCGTTCCTTACTTAAAAAATGGTGTTAAATATGTTTTAAGGATAGAAGCTCTTACTAAATACATCGTTAGTTAGCCACCGCAAGTAATATTCAGGTTGGAATTGCATTCAGCGAGCACTGGTATGGTAAGAATGAAGTCGAATGCATACAGCGTCACTTAAGCACCTTTTTACCCCATTATCCAAAATGAACAATCAACTTCAAGATTGTGAAAAAGTTGAAGCCGTCAAAACACCAATTATTGACAACAGCTTAAGAACATTTTTTAGCTAGACAGACATAATTCCTCCTTCAGCTTCAAAAACTTTATTGTGAACTACAAAGACTTCCAGTATCTTTTCATCTCTTCTGATTGCCTATCATAATCTCTAGATCATCAACTACTCTGGTGGAGTACACCGATTACAGCGGGGAGAATCATCATGGAAGAGGGAAACGTCGAAAGGCTACTGCTCGAATTCTGTCAGATTCTGTACGTTAGGTCCAATCAGATCTGCCTTTCATATATCTCTAACTTGCTTAGAACGTAAGTTGCAATATGGTTGTAATCAACATGGAATATATGCCACTTTTAGATACGAGTCATTCCAATGGCAGATAGGAACGGCATGATGATCGACATGATGCTTCGTCTGCACAGAAAACAATCAGAAGAAACACAGTTCATTGATATCCGTGTTGAATGTCCCACTTTCAAACCAAGTCGTATCCGTATTGATGGCCGATGGTACAACATTTTTTAAGAGATTTTTGCAGTAGGGGCTTTAATGTTCTACGCTATTCTAAACGCGATTTTGAAATGATCTGAGATTTTGTTTAGCTGATTTCTGTATTGCATTAGCCAAATATTTTCCGTTTTATAGATAAACATACCGTCATTTTTCAATCAAATTACCTTGTATTCTTCGATTTGTCCATGATCCGATCCTATCTAAGTTTATGGCTTGTGTAGTCGAACTTGCTCATCACAAGCAAATCGATCGTTATCCTTGTCAAATCGATACTTTTATTGTCGCTAAATCCAGATAGGAGAAACACTGTGTTCAATGCATTAGGAAAAGTTCATTAAAATTCATTCGTACACCTTGCTCATTTTTACATTTTCAAAACACACAAAATAACGTCTGTGACTGTATTGCCGTTGTGCACGAATGGTAGTATCAGCAACGGATTACAACTATCAGAACTTATTATTTGAAGCGGTATTAAACAGTTTCTATAAGCTATCGGATATGTTGTACATCAGAACGACAATTGATGGAAACAATTGTTAGCAACTGGGATTGTCGGAATATCAAGCGCACAGTAAGACGACTACCGGCTCTGTGGTCAAAGATCTTCATAAAACTCCCAAAAAAGATTTGATACCCAGCAAAATCCTAGAGTTAGCAGAAGATGCTTAGCCACTCGTACAAGCAGCAGGAACAAAATGAATAGATCTCCGAAAATGCTTCAAGCTACTTGACGATCTGTGTGCGAAAAAGGACAAATGTGACAGAAACATGGAATCAATGCGTGAAAATCCATATCTACTTACTCGTCCTATTATGATATTACACAGCTGCGAACATCACATTATGACAAATAAAGCAGCAACTTAACATGCCTGGCAATCATTTTTGAGCCACACATGTTAGTGGTCTGTCAAAGAGGGCTGAGTTATGGAGCCCCAAAACACGTGTTTCGATCTTGTGATCTCGTCGGTCGAGCAGTTATCCTTTTTCGTCCTTTGCCAATCCTATGTGGGTGCTCCAGTCCCCGTACTAAGAGTTAGCGACGACGAACGTTTTACACTCTATGTCCAGTGGAATTATCACCGAACACAGAGTGTTGTACACTCGGTTGCTTGTGATTAGTATATTCAATATATCATAACTTTCGTTTCGAGTGTTTTCTTAAGACCACAGCTCAAATTTTAATTTGCCTGGTAATCATTTTTAGCCACGCATGTCAGTGGCCAGTCAAAGAGGGCTGATTTATAGAGCCCGATACGCTTGTTCAATATATCATTAATACAATATACTGTGGAGCACCCACGCAGGATTGGCAGAAGACGAGAAAGGGTGTTTGCCCGAGTGACGAGATCGCATGATCGCAACACGTGTATCGGGCTCTATAAGTCAGCCCTCTTTGACAGACCACTGACATGTGTGGCTCAAAAATGATGACCAGGCATATTGAAATTTGAGCTGTGGTCTCAAGAAAACACTCGAAACGAAAGTTACAACTTAACATAGTTGAAAGCTATGTGAAATTAATGCGTTAGTTATTTTGCACACAGCAGATATTGATTTCAGTCTGAGTGGGAGGTCACATTTTATGTGTGGGAACTAGTGTCACTATCACACAATATGACATTCCGCAAAAATCATAACTTTGCGGTTGTTCCACAGACATAATAGGCCACCTCCTCGACAGAGAGTAGCTTCAGAATGTGGCAGGATTTATCCGTTTGAACATTTTCTGCTTATCTGGGGGCAACGTATACCTCTAAAACTCCGGGTTTAACTAAAGGTGAGACCTCTTTCTCTGGAAAGAGCTATTTCCTTGGACCTTTGATAATTATACAAATAATCAAATTCTAGCAATTTTAGATGCGCTTGTTTTTGAAAAAGCCTTCCCAGCACGTTTTAGGAGAAAAAATAGGATTACATTTCGCACTCGATGCGCATTTTCTGCCCATCTGGGGTCTTTGGATGGCTTTTCAGTTCTTTCTAGTTAGGAGGGAACAAATGAGAAATCGATCTCATTCACTGGCGAAGAGC